AGAGGAGAGAGAGGAGGGAGGGAGGGAGAGAGAGAGAGAGAAGAGAGAGAGAGAGAGGAGGAAGGGAGGGAGAGAGAGAGAGAGAGAAAAGGGGGGAGAGAGAGAGGAGAGAGAGAGAGAGAGGACAGAGAGAGGAGAGAGAGAGGAGGGAGGGAGAGAGAGACAGAGAGAGAGAGACACAGAGAGAGAGGGAGAGAGAGAAGAGAGAGAGGGGGAGAGAGAGAGAGAAGAGAGAGAGAGACAGAGAGAGAGAGAGAAGAGAGAGAGAGAGACAGAGAGAGACAGAGACAGAGACAGAGAGAGAGAAAAGAGGAAAGAAGGAAAGAGAAAGAAAGTCACATGAAAACTGGGTGGAAATCCTCCTCGGGAACAGCAAGGTGGCACTGGCCTGGCAGAGCCCTTACTGAGGTACCACGGCCAGCTCTGGTTTGTGGCTCACAGACGAGCGGAGGTGACACTTGGAGTTTCAAATTTAGGGTCACTGGGGCTTTGTAGCATGTTTAATGGAACCAAGGTGACTTAGAAGAGAACACCGATGGACCAAGGCATTGGGTGCACCTGCTTTCTGTTTCCACAGGGGAGAATGGAGGGATTTGGTGGGGCGGACAGAAATATTTTCCAGGCGGTTATTAAACAGCAGATCTTGGGAGGGGTTTGTGGAGTAGCATAACCAGAAAGTCTTTATAATGAGACTGTTCTCGTCTTTTGTAAAGGCAGGGAGGGACTTGGAACCCTCACGGAGGAGCAACGTCGGCAGCTTTGGAGGGTTCTCCCTCTCCTTCCCCAGGTCCTCAGGCAGTGAGGGCAGAGGCTCCACCCTGGACCAGGGGAGTGACGGCTGTGAAAGCGGCAGTCGTCCAACCCACCTGAGCCGCGGGCTGAGGCCCCGCTGGGAATACCCACAGTGACAGGAGCTGACCTCTGCTCTTCACGGAGTTGGAGGTGATCACTGTTAGCTACCGAGAAATGTCATCATCGCCTTTCAGCCATTACCCCACGTGTCCAGATCAGCTCCGGTCATGAGGCCAGCGGGACCCAGAGGCCAGACCTCCCCACGTGGAGTCTGCAGCTGCACAGCGCAGCCGTGGCCGTAAGTGGGCGGCACTGGGTTTTCAAGTAAGTCTAAGTGTTTCTATTGTCTTTAAAATGACATAAGACATGTTCCATTATTTAAAAAAATTACAAAATACAAATGCCCACGTTAATTTAGCCAGGCTCCGCCATCACATTCGACAACACAGAAAAGCCAAAGCTCTCCGGTCACAGCACAGGACTAGGGGACGTCTGGGCTGTTGACGTCCGTCACTAATCTGCTTTCTTCCTTAAGCCTCTTCCCTTTGTGACCGCTCAGCTGGTTTTACATGGTGCAAGACTTGTCCGTGGGACCCTGGGAAGGTGGGGCGGGTCCCATGGTGGGGTTTGTTTTTGGAAGAACAGCAGGTTTCGGCCTAAGTGCGGGCGGCTTCAGCTGCACGCCCATGCGGGGAGCCACCATGGGCTTGAAAGTGCTCATTGCGTCACTGGAGGAGCTGGTGCTCCGGCGGATCTGAGGCTCGGAGCCCCTGAGGGCAACGTTGTGCAGGGGGCTGAGAGCCTCCGAGGTGGTGGCAGGGGCGGGCGCGTTTTTCACTTGCTCCAGGGTGTCCAGCACCACGTCGGGGGCGTGCTTGGCCGTACTCTGCCTCTCCAGCTCTCGCAGTTCACTCAAAGCCGTGTTCATCGTCTCCTCGATATCCTGTTGGAAATCATCAGGAAGAACAGACTAGTAACTAACAGTAATGTCTGGAAGCCTACGGCCTTCACCTCAAGCAAACAGGCCAGCAGGGAGCAGGAATATCCTAACCTGGCCGTCTGCAGAGTGTGCAGATACACCATCCCACACAGTTACTGTGACTCTCTGTGCAGGAGACTGAGACGTGGTGGCCCACGGAACCACGGACCAAATGACTACCATCCTAAGGCCCTTGGCCGCCGTTGGGTGGTCTCTGCCTTATGAGCTGACTTACGGAGAATTCTATTTCAGCTTACAGTAAAACCTTAAATTTAAATGCTGCAACAATCTCTCAAGAAATAAGTTTGCACAGGAATAAAAAAATCAGGCTCCATTCATTCACTCACACAACAAATAATTTTTGCATACTTAGTACGCACTTGGCTAACTCCTGGAAGTTCTTCACAACTCAGCTTCAACCTTCCCTTGGCGTGACTGTCGGGTGTGACTGTGGTCTTGCCCCTGGGGGGCACTTTGTAGCTTGTGCCTGTTTGTGTGTTTTAATGTCATAACTAGGTTGCATTATTCACAGTTGGTTGTCGGGGTCGGCTATGTTACTTATCTTGCAAGTGCCTTGGGAGTGACGTGTAATGGATTGTCCTGCATCTTGGTCAACTTTTGAACGTCCTCCAGACATTTATGAAGGTGAAAACTGTTTATATAAAAAGTTAGTTCTATAAACTTTATATAAAAAGTCAGTTATATATAAAAGTTAGAACTTAATCTTTTTAAAATATATAAATACGAAGTGTTTTTTCCATGGTGTTACATGTTCCAGAAATGTAACTACCATATATAGTATCCTTTGCTTTGTTTGGAACTGTGTGACCAAGGCTTATCCACCATTTTGGAAAAAATTCCTATTGCTAATGAGAACGGCTTTCACGTACATGTGTAACTTAGGGAAATCACACCATGCAGGAAGTCACACTGCAGGTGGAAGCCTGTCCCCCTTCACTGTCATCCAGTGTAGGCAGCAATCTCCTGAATGGCATTTGTTTTAAAATTTATTTCCTTTCCTTTTTCTTTTATGTTACATTTGAAGCTTAATATATTTTCAAATTAGATATATCATCAATTTATTTCAGGTGGTGAACGGGGAGTTACAATATATTTGTTTCAAAAAAGTTGAGTGTGGTCCAGTGAAGGAGGAATGGTTAGACACAGCTGCTGTCAAAGGACATTGGGACATGGCTCAGCCTCGAGGGGGCGAGGTCCTGCCCCAGGCGACCCTGAGGACGTCATACTCAATGAGATTAGCCAGTCACAGAAACACATTCACTGTGTGACTCCACTTCTGGGCAGTGTTAAGTAGCCCAATTCACAGAAATAAAGGATAGAATGGTGGTTGCCCAAGGTGGGAAGAGGGGTAGACAGGGAACTGTTTAATGTATAGAGAGTTTTTAGTTTTGCAAGATGAAAAAGTTCTGGAAGGCAGTTTCTTAACAATGTGAATATACAGGGTGTCCCCCAAATCACCATATGTAGGAAAATGGGCAGTTATAGCTAAGTGGACCTTTAGTCACAAAATATTCATAGTAAAATTTTACAAAGAGGTGGCTAACATGTACAGAATATTTTGTAAATATTTTTTGATTTTTTAAAGTGAATATCTTGTGAATAAAGGTACATTTAGCTACAGTTCCCCATTTTACCTATGTCTGGTGACTTTATGGGTGACTCTGGGACATCCTGTACTTTACTAAACTATCCATTTATAAATGGTTAAGATGATAAACTTTGTATTCCCTTCCCCTCAAAGGCAGCGCTGCTGGGTGAGGTAGGGGGGAGAACCACTGCCCGGTCTGAATGAAGTCTCTCCTCTCAGCGTCCCTAGGCTCTTCCACTCACCTGGATCATCACACTTGCTGCACTGCAGGGTGGTGACTGACCCCCACGTCCATCTCCCGCCTGGATCGTAAGCGCTTTGAGCCAGTGGCTGCTGTTTAACTTTGTGCCCACAAAGCCTGGCCTAAGACCTATCTGGCATTCAGTAAATGCTTAATAAAGATTTGCTAGATGAATAATCCAAGACACTTATATTAAGTCAGTTTCCAATAATGAATAAGCCAAGACAAGAGCATTGCACAGGGACATTGTGGTCTTTTAAAACTCTCCATGGGAGATTCCCCTGATTCGTTTAACAACAGAAATTAAAACCATCCTGGTTCCAGCAAAAGGGCTAAAGAGACTTTATTATTCCTTTCTACCCTCAAGCATCTAAATCCTGGTCTCTTTAACCCAAATCATGTTTCACCTGCTTATTACAAGTAGTGATATTATACACGTTTCCAGTCACTCAGTTCAGCCAGCGTAAAGTATCGCTGGCTGTAAATGTGCCCCACAGGGCTTTGCAAAGCATTTCAAATAGAAAAACCCCGAACAGTCAAATGCTTTTTTTATTTTTATTTTTGTAGAGACAGAGTCTCACTCTGTTGCCCTTGGTAGAGTGCCGTGGCATCACACAGCTCACAGCAACCTCCAACTCCTGGGCCTAAGTGATTCTTTTGCCTCAGCCTCCTGAGCAGCTGGGACTACAGGTGCCCGCCACAACGCCCAGCTATTTTTTGGTTGCAGTTTGGCTGGGCTGGGTTTGAACCTGCCACCCTTGGCATATGGGGCCGGTGCCCCACTCACTGAGCCACAGGTACCACCCAAGCTTTTTTGATTTTTGTGGAGAAATGGCACATTTAAATTGGTCTGATTTTTAAAAAATCATATTAAACTTCTCATGCAATCTAATATGCTATCCAAAATTCTTTTTTGAGTTGGGGTACTCAGAACAGCTGGGAAATTTGTAATGTCAGGGCACGTTTCCTTAGGTGCTTTTTATAAAAAATAATCCATCTTTAATACCTCCTTACATCTGTTTCATTCCTTTCTAATTCATTCTTTTTATTTTCTTGGTTAGTTTTTAAACTTCAGTGATAGCTGGAGGATGCTAGATATTCAAACAGCACATGCTGGATCTATTTACCTGTTACTGGCTATGCACATATTTGCTTTCTTTCTACCTCCTTTGTCTCTCTCCTCTCCCTCCCTCCCTCTCTCCTTCCCTCCTTTCTTAGACTCTCTGTCGCCCTGGGTGGAGTGCTGTGGCATGAAAGCTCACAGCTACCTCAATGCACAGATTTTATGCTGCTCTATATTGTAAAAAGAACAGAAGGGTAACAGGCAAGTTTCTTAACACTGTTTTACTTCGCTTTTGTCAATTCTGATGATTGGAGAGAAACTGCACACCCCTCTCTGCAGTCACAAGTGTGTTTAGGAGGCACACAGGATCCAGACTGCTGTTCTCCAAATGGCTAACCATCACTGATCACTTTACATAGGGACTACTGCACCGTCCCCTACGCTGAGGAACGCCACCTTCCCATGTGTGGACGGCGCTCTCTCTGCATGTCTACTGCATGTGTGGGTGGTGCCCTCTTTCTGTCTCTCTGCATGTCTACTGCATGTGTGGGTGGTGCCCTCTCTCTCTCTCTCTGCATGTCTACTGCATGTGTGGGTGGTGCCCTCTCTCTCTCTCTGCATGTCTACTGCATGTGTGGGTGG